CGGCACAGCCCTGCTGGAGACACCAGCCATGGGCCAAGGAGAACCTACCTCTCTCTGGGGATCATCCGGGGTGCGCTGGTATGTCCAGAGGATGCGGGCTTGAAGGGATTTAGGGATGCACTTCAGCAAGGCAGTGCTGCCCTCCACCCCATACAGCTGCTTCTGGGGCACACTGCCCTGCTGGGGGTCTAGGGGGAACACAGCCCAGCTGTCAGCTCGTTCCCTGGCAGGGCTGACCGTGCCTTCCCCCCCAGGTTCTGGCTCACCTTCAGAGCAGAGCACGTTGGGATCACCATTGCGGATGTCCTGCCGGCGGAAACGCCTGAGGGAAGGTAGCAGAGGAGTGGGGGCCATGCTACCTGCACCCCTTCCCATAGCCTCGGGGCAGGCCACCCCAGGGCTGCACACTGTCATGTCACCACGTCACCTACCTCTTGGTGTTGGGCACATAGCGGGTGCAGGTGGTGCCATCCCAGGCGCAGTACGGGTCCCGAGCCAGGCAGCACTCAGCACAGGCTTTGCCGTAGGCGCCGCAGCGGTGCAGGGGCAGCTGGGCCAGCGCCGTGACCGAGCCGGCATAGAGCTGTTGCTGGGGGGAGTAGTGGAGAGAGGAGCTGAGCACCCTGGTGCCATGGCACAGGGCCTGGGAGAGCCATGGCAGGACATAGGGACCCACCAAGGGTCCCCCCTTACCCGCTTGGAGGACACCTGCAGACTGGTGATCGGGGAGGCATCCTGCAGGCAGAGTGCAGGCAGGAGTTAGGGTGTGTGGGAGGACACAGGCATCTGGGCTGTCAGCTCCCACATCCCAGTAGATGGAGAACCCTGGTATGACCCAGAGTGTGGACAGCACAAAGGGGTGCTGTGGAGGGTCCAAAAGGGGGGCACAGAGGCCCCCCCCCTCACCTGGAAGACCTGAAGCTCCTCCAGCAGCAGTGGCTCCATGCGGTGCCAGCTCTCCGTGGGCGTGGAGACCACCTTCAGCACTGTGCCCATGTCTACAGGAATGGGGGAGTGAGGCTGGGAGTTCCAGCCTTGCAATATGCCCCACCCAGCCCCAGGGTCACTAGATACCTGTGCCAATGAAGAGGACATCGTACTGGCCATCAGCAGCGGTGACGCGGTCCACAGCAATGCGGGTGAAGGTGTAGGGCACAGCAGCTTGCAGGAAGAGGGGCCGCTGGCTGTGGGGCAGCACCGGGTTGTACATCAACGGGTGGTGTCGGGCAAACTGGATCACCTCATCTGGGAAGTCCTTGGTGGAGCTGAAGGTACCGAAGGTTTTGCTGGGGCACTGCAGGGCAGCAGTGCTGACTGAGTGGGGGTCTGGCTCCCCACGGCCCCTACCCTGGGTACCAGTATCCCAGTGGCAGCACCAGCCAAGACGTCCCAGCACTACATACCATGCCTGGGCGGGGGTAAGGCACACGGCCCTGATACGACACCCACTGGTAGTTGGGACCCTCCTTGTGTGCAAAGGGGCCCAGGAAAGCCCGGCGGATGTCGGCCATGGTGTAGACACAGACAGCTGAGCCCTGGAAAATGGAGCTGGTGGGAGAGAGAGGGGATGATGTGAAGGGTGAGGGAGGCACTGCTGGGCAGTGAGTGGGTGGCTGCAAGGGGGCTCAACCTGGAGGTGGAGAAGATGGCATAGACCAGGGGGTTGCGCTTGTCCCTTGTTTGCAGCAGAAAGACGTCCCCTGCAAGCCAGGAGGGTGTCAGCACGGTGCTGACATGCCAGGGCCACCTGTGGGCACTCTGGGGAGCTACCCGCACCCCCCCACTCACGGAGCTCATCAAAGTGGGTGTCTGCCCCATCGGGTCCCGGCACGGCACAAACGAGCCTAGCCTTCAGGAAGGTTGTCCACTTATTGACCAGGCTGCGCTGCCCACCCACATCATTCTGCCAAGAAAGGGAGGGCACCAATGTCAGCAGCAGCTGGTGGCACCCAGGGGACACCCCAGCCCCCAGCCCACCCTGCAGATGTTCTCACCCGGCAGATCTGGCCAATGCGGGCAAAGCTGGTCTTGCCCAGCCCCTGCTGCCGCTCCACTGCAGTCTCACGGAAGAAGAAGTAGATCTTGTCATCATCAGGGTCCTCACTCTCCGGCACCCAAAACACGGCCACAAACTTGGGCTCTGGGGACAGAGGGGTGCTGCCTCCAGTGTCCCTGCTAGCTCTGCTCTCTGGGGACCCCAGGGCGCCCACCAAGGTTTCAGGAGGGTGCAGACAACCCCCTACCCAGCTGCAGGGCAGAGGCAAAGTGAGGGTGGGACCCCACCAGGCACTGGGGGTCTACAGGGACCACACAAATCTCTCTCAGCAAGCAGCAGAGGATGGCATGCACCCGAGCCTGGAGGACTTGTTGCCCCGATGCCTCCAGGGAGCATCAATGCCATGACAGGGTGCCAGTGGCCCCACTGCCCTCCCACTTCCCAGCACTGACCATTGAGCCAGCGGGAGTCGTGCTGCTCCGTGCGGATGGAGGGACGCCGGCCCAGGCTGCGGAAGATGGTAAAGTCCCGGCCCATCAGATCAGTGGCCACCCCGGAATAGAGCTCTTCCCCTGGCAGGCACCAAGGGAAGTGTTAGAGGGGACCCTTGGGCACTCCCCTGCCATGCTAACCCCCACACCAGGCTCGGCTCTCCCTCACCCACGAGGATGGAAGCAGCTGCATGCCGGGGGTCGTATGGACTCTTCCCCTTGCCATCCTCGGTGTGTCGGGGGTCCAGCTTGAAGACAGGCTCCTGGAGGGGTGTAAGAACAAGAGGAAATGGCCTCAGGTTGTGTCAAGGGAGGTTTCAATTGCATATTGGGAAAAATATCTTTACTGACATGGTTGCCAGGCCCTGGAAGAGGCTGCCCAGGGCCTACAGACAGTCCTATAGAGTCCCAAAAAGAGTAATTGTCTAAAAACGGCCACCCTGACAAACTGGATATTGTGCTTGGGTGGGGGCCTCATTTAATAACTACCTGGACCCTGTTCTCTCAAGGAGAGCCCCTTATTTGGTAACCACCCTTATAAATGGGACACTGTGCTTACTTGATAAGGAACAGTGGCCAGCAAGAGCAGCCCCATGGAGGCACAGTGCCATCTTGCAATTGACCACTTTCCTGTTTAAAGACAGAATGTATTCATGAAAATAAAGGTCTTTTCTTAGTCAACCTGGATTGGAGGGCCAGATGATCACCTGGACCCCCATGCCCCACTGACTCAGGACACACACCTGCCATTCAAGGGCCACAATGTCATGCTGAGATAATCACTGGATCCAAGGGTGGTGATACCTTTCCTATCCCCCCTTTCCTTTCTCTCTTTCTCTTTCTTCATCTCTCTCTCTGCCTCGCTCTCTGTTTCTAACATAGGGGTAACAAAATTTCTAATTTTGCTAAGTTTTTCCAGTTGTAACCTGTTGTTTTGAGAGTACAATTTTGCTAAATTCTGCTAGTTGTAATCTGTTGCTTTGAGAGTGACATTGTTGTGTGTTTCCTTTTGACAAGGTTTATAATCTTACTCAATTTAAGTAATGTTTTGTATAAGCCTCTTGGGTAATGGTCTTACTCTGAGAATACCACGCAGAGAATTCCAGAGGTTAATCTCACTGACTGGGTTGGTAAAAGAGATTAATTGGGAGAGGATGATTGGATCTGAATCTCCCTGGGTCAAACCGCACCTCTAGGGAACTCTACCCGTGCCCACTTTGTGGGACATGACATTTAGTTTGGGCCTCCACCTCTGGGGAGCTGTGCCCACTTTGTGGGACACAACTCTGTGCTCACTCTGTGGGACGTGACAGCGCCGTACCCAACGTGTAGGATGTAACAAGTCTCAATCTGTGGAGGTATTTAAAAGACATGTAGATATGGTGCTTCAGGACATGGTTTAGTGGTGGATGCAGCAGTGCTGGATTAATGTTTAGACTTGATGATTTTAAGAGTCTTTTCCAACCAAAACAATTCACTGATCCTAAGGATGTGAGATGGGCAGGGAGAGGCAACCAGGGGCCACAGCGGTGCTGGGGGGGCTCACCTCTGCATGCTGTCCAGCCTCCACGAAGGCACAGACAGGGTGGAAGGCTCCAGTGCCACAGGCATAGAGGTGGGTCCGGTTGTAGGGGTGCAGGATCTTCACAAAGTTCATGCACTCAGCCTGGGGACAGAGGGCACGGGGAGGAAGTGCCAGGTTGGCCCCCTCGGCACCCAATGGCACTCCCAGCACCTCCCAGCACTCACAGTGATGTCCTTGCCGGCCCAGTTGCACTCCTCCCTCCACTCCACCGGTGCTGGCCAGTAGATCTGGGCAGGGAGAAGGGGACAGTCACACCCCTGGGGTGCACGCCAGGCCACCTAGCTGGAGTGGGTGTGTCCCCCCTCGTTACCTTTCTGTCCCGCTGGCTGATGTCATCCAGAGCCAGGGAGAGGAGGTGGTTCTGGGCGCCTGCGAAGAGGCGACCGCGCTCCTCGTCCAGCAGCAGGGCCTCGTAGCAGCAGGAACGCTCCAGGGTGAAGAGCCGCAGCCCGTGGC